GTGGGGAGCAGAACAGGCAGACTGATGAAGTACACTGCTGAGGGGAGCAGCAGGTGTGTCAGGAGAGGTCTGCTGTGCCATGTGTGTCACCTCCTGGGCCAGGGGCCAAACTTGCACTGATGGGGCTGCTGCTCACTTGCAGTGCTGTGTCCTAACCTGATGTACCACCAGGGAGGGCCCCAAATTCTTTTTTATTTTATTTTTTAAAAGATTTATTTATTTATGCATACAGAACTGGGGTACAGGCCAGAGGTGTGGGGAGCAGAACAGGCAGACTGATGAAGTACACTGCTGAGGGGAGCAGCGGGTGTGTCAGGAGAGGTCTGCTGTGCCATGTGTGTCACCTCCTGGGCCAGGGACCAAACTTGCACTGATGGGGCTGCTGCTCACTTGCAGTGCTGTGTCCTAACCTGATGCACCACCAGGGAGGGCCCCAAATTCTTTTTTATTTTATTTTTAAAAAGATTTATTTATTTATTTATGCATACAGAAAAAAAGATTTATTTATTTATTTATGCATACAGAACTGGGGTACAGGCCAGAGGTGTGGAGGTTGAGAGGATTCACCAGAGACAGAGTGGGGAGCAGAACAGGCAGATCAACTAAGTGCAGTGCTGAGGGGAGCATCGGGCAGGTCAGCAGAGGTCTACATATGGGTCAGCTCCCTGGCTGGAATTGAACTTCGATCTTCACTCTTCATGCGATCTCTGCGCAAGCTTCCCAGGGCTGCTCTTTAACCCATTGCGCCACCAGGGAGGGCCCTCTCTTTTTTAAGTATAATTTTTTTTTTTGGTATAACCAAGATCCCAGAAATGATGATATAATAAAGCTAACATAGTTAACGTTAGGACGCAAATAGGTTCGAAAAACAATACGTAAATCAATCTCTTTGTTTCATCCAGCCCCTGAGTTATTTAGGGAGCATCTCTGGTCTATTCCTGACTGTATCTTCAGCAGATGATCTGTCCAGGTGATTCAGTTAGGGGGGGTTAACCTAAAAGGGGTCCCCTTCCTTTAGGCTCATTAGCTCTCTTTTTGCTGTTACTCTGAACTAGGAAAGGCTGTGCTGGTACATGGGTTCTCCTCAAATCATTTTTTTTATATAGCTGTGATTTCAGTTGTCCTTAAAGGGTTTCCCAAACTTTGGCAGTACCTGTCATTCATCTCCAGAGAGCCTTTTCCCTGCTAATGTGAAAGGATGGGGCAATGCCTGGGGGGTTTGGGAGGGTTACTGCATGGCCCTAATGTTTACATAGGCAGCTGCTCAGGGCCATTTGCACAGAACTTTCCCACAGGAAGTGTCTAGTGACCTGGCTTTCAGTGTGGAAGGAAGTACAGACGCCATCTCTGTGTCTGCCTGTTATCACCATTGGCCTGTGTCCTTGGCCTGTGCCCAGTGTCTCTCAAATTGCCAGCTGCTGTTTGCTTATGTGAACAGCCCTCCAAGGGCTATACCACTAGTGCCTGTGCTCTGGCACCATCAGCATGCCATCTGTGACTTCTGAGAGCTGACCACTGTTTCTGACCCTCCAGCACCACCTCCTGCGGCTTCAGGTGGGTGTGGCTGGCTGCTGTGGTGCCACCTCACCAGCGCTGCCTGTGAGCACCTCCTGCTGTCACCGGAGGTCTGGTGACATGGCTTTCGGTGTGGAAGCTCACAAGCATGGTCTCTGTGTCCCCTCCCCCCCCTTCTCTGTTGTAGTGGGGGGCTGGATCTTTTCCAATCCGGATGGCGTGTGCGCAGCAGGAAATGCCAATTACCAGTATGCTGCTCCTTTGCCCCTGTCTGCACCCCATACGCACCACCACGGCTGTGAGCACTACCCTGGCCTCCGGGGGCATCGGCAGGCTCCCTACGCTCCTGCATACGCCCATAGAAACCACACTCCTGCAGGTGTGTGATTCTGCTAATGAAGCCCTTGGGCATGGGTGGGGCTGTGGGGATTGAAGGACACAGACAAACAGCTAGGTAAAAGAAGTAGCTGATTCTGGGTACCTTGGTGGTGGGGTGTGACCACAGGCATGAAGAGGTGTGAACCTATTTCCCTAAAGCTTACACAATGTTGCCAACCAATGTTACCTCCATACAAAAAGTTACAGCAAAAAAAAAAAAAAAAAAAATCTGAAAACATGAAAAACAAAACCAGGTAAAGATGGACTCCCTTTCATGTAATATATAACATTATTGTATATTATCATTCCAATGTTTCATATGCTAATAGTTTCAGTAGTTATGACATGATTCATGCTTTAAAATAATTTCACAAGATATTCAGACTCTAGGTTCCAGTAGGTGGAAAGGCCTTGTGTACACGCATCTCTCAAACCAAGCTGGGTCTGACCACTCAGTTCATTACAGCCATGTGAACCTTCTAGAGCTGGAATCTACCACTCAGTCCAGAGAAGACTGACCCAGGCTTGGGGAACTCTTAGGATCTGGATCACATGCATCCAGACTTTGGTTTGGTTCTGCTGGCAGCAGAAACCCCAACCTTGACAACTTTGCAGTCTGATTACCTCTAAGTTGATGTTTTCTGTTTTCTACTTTTTTCCTCATGGGCTGCTTGCTTGTCTACCCTGGCCTCATGTTTAGTCCAGAGCTCATCTGGTTATCAGACTCTTCGGGAGGAAGGGAGAAATGAAACCAATTCAATCATCTGTGCAACAAATATTTATTGAGAGCTGACTGTGTGCTAGGCTCAGTTTAGGGGCATGAACAAAATAGCTAAGCACTCTGCCCTTCCTACCTTCATGGAGAGTCCCCTCTAACCTGGGGAGATCAACTCTAAATAAATCAAATAAAAATAAATAAAATTCAGGGCATGGGAAAACAGAGATGAGTGTTGAGATTTTGAGCTTTGGATGGTCACTAGCTACCTCTTCCCTGCTCCTCTCACAACCTGACAGTTGCTAGAGAAGGGAGATGACTTAGGTGACTTAATGGCATCAGGTGTTCTCATTCAACTTCCTGGTTCTTCCCCAGGGGTAGCACACCACATACATTCCAAGCAGCTGCTCTGCACCAGAACTTTCTAAGCATTAGGATAGGAATGTGATCAAGGTAGAGCTTTATCCCCCCAGAGGAGCGTAGAGCTACACATAAATAATTCATCAAAATACAATGTAATGAGGGCTCCGACCTGTGATCCTTGGGCCTGTAGTATCACCTGGGAACTGGTTAGGAAGGTAGATTCCCAGGCTCTCAGTGCAGCAGAGTCTGCACTTTAACAAGATCCCCTGGTGATTCTTATGCACATTAAAGCTTGAGAAACGTTCTATAAAACACATGAGTCAAGTACCAGGGGGATGGAGAAAAAAGAGCAGCTAAATCTGCCCAGATGGGTTAATATTTAAATTGAGCCTTGAAGGATGACTAGAAAAAGACAGTGGGCAGAGGTGGTTGGTGATGGCAGGGCCCACAGACAGAGGTAGAGAAAGAGGAGTAAGTGAGTCAGAGAGAGTGGATGGATCTGGTTGTTGGGCATCAAAGAGAGGGAGGAGTGAGAGGTGGAAGGCGCAAGGACAGAGGCTCAAGAAGTCACACTTGTCAGCTCATGAGAAGGACCTGACAAGGTGTATATCGCTGAATCTTCCTTGTATCCCGCTTCTTTCCTCTCCACCCTCCTCTTCATAAACATTCTGCCTGTGGAGTATATAGACACTATAAATGGACATTCAAAGACATAGAGAACATGGTTCTTGAGCTATCTACTATACTTAACCTTAGCCAAAAGACTGACCCTACTTGGGATTGTTAAGAAGAATATGGTCCTGGACATCAGAAATCTCATTTGGGGCATGGATGGCCCTTTAGATTATTCTGAGGAGTACTGACACGGTCCAACGGCAAGTCATTCCATCTCTCGGAGCCTCATCTATGAAATGGAGATGGGAAGTTATCAAGATTAAAATGTGATCAGCATGAGACATAGGGTTGACATTCAATAGATCTAAGGGCCTCCATTTCGGTTTCCCCTAGAGGGTGTAACAAACTGTTGGCATCTATAGTGTCACAGTAATAGTTTGCCCTAGGATGATGTCATTGGTCACCATCTGTATATGTCCTTCATGCTCTATCAACTGAACTGTTGTTATTTCCCTAAAGTGAATTTGATAGAAAGCTCTAGCAATAATCTCCAAGTTTTCTCTGGGCCGGACAGCTGGGCCTCCTTGTCCTCTACCCCTCACGCGAGCATCCTGTCAGTGCCTCATACCAGCGGACCCATCAATGCAGGACCCAGGTAAGAAACCTCTGAAGTGCTGCTCACTGGTGGTCTTGGGGGCTATGTTAGTGCTGGTCTTGTGTTCACCCTTTCCATAGGGGCTTGGTCTAAGCCTGTGTCTTGACTCCTAAGCCCCCGGAAGGTATGGTAACTACAGGATTGACTTCATTCCTGGAGAAAGCAAGGCAGGGAGGCACTTACACCATCAGGTTCTCTTTCTTTCCTCACTTTTGAATTCTATCTTCAGAAGGGGAAAGACATTATGACTGGGGGACATTATCTCAAACCGGTGGAGAACAGTGGTAGTAGCAGGAGACACTGAATGCAGAGGAATTGAAGGGGGAATGTGTAAACACTGGGATTTCAACATTCTTGATTGTCCACATTGTCATCAGCCACCTGTCCTAACAGGGACACAGATTGGGGGTCCTGGACCCAACCCACATAATAGGGCTAAGTGCAGCCTACAGGATCCGTGACGTAACTGTCACGCACCAGAGACATGCATGTTGTTCTGATTTCTGGAGATGAGTGCGGTGGAGCAGAAAGCAACTGAGAGTGTGAATGTCAGCACATCCGGTGTGAGTTCCTTTCTACTTTATTGACTTTATGGCTCTGGGAAATGTATCCTCAGTGAGCTTCAGTTTTCTCTTCTGTAACCTGGAAATACTATGATGCCCTCTGTACAGTAATGGTGGGCATTAATATCCAAAAAAACATTACCATGCTTTGTAAGCAGTAACATTTTTACATCCATGTCAACAGTTATTTTCAACATATAGAAAATATGTAGAATTTTGAGAAACTCTAAAATGGGGATTCAAAATGAAAATAGACTTGGAAGATGTCTGATGTGTCGGTCTAGAAAATGTTAGGTGATTATAGGCTTTTGGGCTACACCAGGGCTCCTCATGCTTTGATGTGCATTTGAGTCACCTGGAATGTTGTCAGAATGCACAGTCTGATTTGATCTGGATTGGGGCCGGAGATCCTGCATTTCATATGAGTTTCCAGGTGATCGGTGTAGCTGTAAACTAGGATATTAATGATGCTGCACTGATCACAGTGCACGAGGGTATAGGCTGTGCTGTCCAGGGCAATAGCCAGCCCTAATGTCTGCTGGACATGTCCAGTACGGTGAGCTTAAGCTGAGATGTGCTGCAAGTGTAACAGACATTATTCTGAAAACATGGTGGAGAGCAAAGACTAAACATCTTTTTCTTTTCTTTTTGCCATGAAAACATGTAGAAATGATAGTCCGGTGAACATCTTCAGTTAGAAAAAAATCATGAACACTAGTTTCATTTTTCATTCTTATATTATTAAAAATGGCTATAAGAAATTCTCACTTTGTATTTGTGTCCTCACTTTATTTCTATTGGCCTGTACTTGATTGGAGGACCTAAAAAAAAAAAACAAAAACACTGATTTGGAAGATGGTCTGAAGTGTGAAAAAGGAGGCAGAGTCTCCCTGAAGATATTAAACAATTGTGTGCCAAGTTCTGTACAAGAGGTTTGATGTAAGACATTGTAGGACTCAAAGCTACTCACAAGGCTGGCATTAAACATCCTGTTTTACTGATGGAGATACTAAAGCTTAGAGGCAGATAAAATTTCCTGAAGGTCGGGTCGTTGGTCATGAACTCAGTGCCCAGGGTTTTCCTACTGGCAAAAGTGGCTCCAGAAAGGGACCAGAAGGAATAACACAGAGTCATTTTTCCCGGAGACTGCAGCAGAGTACTGGAGAGCTGAGTTGGCTCAAATAAACATGTTTTTTAAAAGCCTCAGAAGATAGCTCCTGCAGGTTTCTGTGGCCCAGTGAGGTTTGCAGTATCAAAATAGGGCAGAGAGGACGGAGGCACGTCATTCCTTTTCCTCATCGGTGTGTTGAACCTGCCTCTATAAAGATCTAGCTGGAGAAAATCCAGCGTGTTCAGTGCTGTCACTGGGAAGGAGTCTCTTAGCAAGCAGTACCATGTAAGGCAAGCAGAGACTTGAGAAACCCAGAACACAGCTGACTGAATTTGAAACATGGGAGGGAATTCCACTTGTTCTCACTGCAGTCATTTTCATAGATGTTCAAGATGAAGGTGCACAATTTGTTGCATGTTGTATTGACTGGAAAGCTTTAAAAATCTTGATGTCCAGGCTGCATGTCAGAGCTGTCAAACCAGAATTCCTAGGATAGCACTCAGGCATCAGTGCTTTTTGAAAGTTGTTAAGTGGTTCAAGTGTGTAGGCAAGTGAGTGAACCAACACTATCAAATAAAAGAAATTAAATCAAGTGGCCTTTCTGTCAGAGACTAGACAGCAGGGGAAATCATTTCACCAACCACCATCCATTGAGTGCCTGATGCTGGCCCCACATCCTCATTTAACCCTCCCAACATCTGCAAGGTGTGTACAACCATCATGACAATCTTGAAGACAGGAAACTGGCCCAGAGATAGTCCCTCATCTGACTGAGGTTACAGAGCAAAGAAATGGGCGTTCTGGGATCCAGACCCAGGTTTTCTGACACGGATTCATACTGGTTATGATGCCAAATGGCCTCTCTTGGCCAGCAAGAGAACTCCCATCCAGATCATTCCATCCAAATATCCTCCTCATTCTCTGACCTTTTTACTCAGGTTACAGGGAAGGCCAGATAAATCAAATGCTGGGTTTAAAACTGAACCACTTACTAGTGGCCAGGCCAGCATAAAAATTCAGCTCTCTGGACCTCTAACCCATCCTGGCTCAACACCTCTCAACTTCTTTGCAGAAACAATGCCAATCTGCATCAGAGCAAAATAAAGTCATGGCAGATGACTTCCTCCTCTAGCTAAGCTCCCTCAGTGTTGTGTGTATGTTCTCCGGGTGGTATATATTCTGGGAATATCATCAGGTATTTCCGTCCATCTGTCTGTCCCTGCAGCCCCTACCCGTGCCTGTGGACCATCAGCAACAGTGGCGGGGGCCCTGTGGGGCCGGGCCCAGAGGTGCACGCCAGCTCTCCGGGAGCCTTCCTCTTGGGCAACCCAACGGTGACTTCGCCTCTCTCCACCCAAGCGCCCACTTCGGCAGGTGTGGAAGTTCTGGGGGAACCCTCACTGACCAGCATCGCTGTGTCCACCTGGACAGCTGTGGCCTCGCATCCCTTCTCCGGCTGGGGGGGCCCGGGTGGGGGTGGACGCCATTCTCCTTCCTCCTTGGACAGTTAGGCAAGATCCTAGGGAAGGATTCAGAGAGCCTTGTCTGTGTAGAGCTCATAAAAGCCCGTGTACTGGTTCCAGTGAATTAGAGCTACAGGCTGGGTGGATTATATTACAGGGCCTGCCGGGAGACAGCTTTGTTTGGATGATGCTAATTTGTCACTCCCATGCCACCAGTTTCTGCCCCACTCCCATGACCTCTGCAGCTTATCCACAGCATGACTAGGCAACAATAGTTCATTGAGTGCTTTCATTGCCCCCAGCCCCTGACACTTCTTTGTTTCGAGAAGGCTCCACTTTCCCTTTCTGTGGAGGTGGTGTAAAGTGGCTAAGTGTCTGTTTACCTGGTCCATGGTCACTGCTTCTTGGGTTTAGGCAACCCTGGAAAGAGTCTCTAGCCACAGAGCTTCTGCTCTGAGACCAAGAGAATAGAGTTAATAAAAATAGAGTTAATCATGTATTACCCAAGGCAGCCTAGAACTGAAATGCGATCATGTCACTCCCTTGCTCAGAAACCTTCAGTGTTCACCATTGCCTGCAGAAGGAAGGCACATCTCCTTTCCTGTAAGGCAAAGGATTTCCTGTAAGGGAATCCTCTACAGTCCAGCCTCAATCTACTGCTACAGCTTTTGCTCTTCTGCTGTACTTTAGCATACCAGGCTTCAGTCAAGGCCAACATTCTGTCTCTTCTCTGAGCATTCATTGTAGATTACCATGTCTACCCCTTCTCCTGCCCAGACCACCTGGGTGAATCCGCTCCATGTCCCTGGACTGGTCGAACCCCAATCCCTGCATCAAACACTACACCTGCCTATGCAAGTTTGATCTTTCCTGGCTCCCTGCTCTCCCACTGGTTCATCTATGTTTTAAAGCTCACCTCCTCCTTCCTGTGTCTCTGTTACCTGTGAGTGTGTCTCTGTGCTAGGAGATTGTAAACCCCTTGGGGGTGAGGCCTGGCTTTCTTGTGTTTGTTTCCCTCAGCACCGGGAGCTGTGCCTTGCCCATTGTAGGTGCCCAATAAATATTGACTGAATTGAATGGGTGTGAAGTGCATGTGAGCTTCAAGGACTGTCGCAGGGCTGGTGAAGGCAGATCTCAGAGATCTCTGAGCTCAGCTAATGTCCAGGGACTGACAGCATGGTAGTGAGGCAGCCCAGGGCACATGGGGTAATCCTGACTTCTCATCTAAGGTGCGGAGGTGTGGTCAGTTCTCAGGCATTGATGACTCATGGAGTCAATGTGTTCTAGAGAGCTAACTCCCACTCTCAACCTTGAATGCTCTGTGCCGGGATCACCTGGGGCACTGTAGGAAAAACAGATTCCTAGGCACCCTCCACATCTAAGGCTCAGAATCTTTGGTGCTAGAATCCAGGAATCTGAATTTCAAGCAAATGCTCCAGACAAGTGTCACAGAGCCAAGTTTGGAAGAACTTGTCTAGAATAGTGAAATGGAGTGATACACACGTTAGGAACCTCAGCTCTGACAGGAGTTTCAACTTCTGCTACTGTCAAGGTCATTTCTTTCTTTTTAAAAGATTTACTTAATTGTGCACACAAGAACTTGGGTGTAGGGCAGAGGTGTGTGGGGAGGTGAGAGGATTCACTGGAGATAGAGTGAGCAGCAAAACAAGCAGACTGACTGAAATACACTGCTGAGTGGAGTAGTGGGTGAGACAGGGGAGGTCTGCTGTGCCATGAGGGTTAACTCCCTGGTCAGGGATCAAACTCATGCTGCAGTGGCTGAGGATAGCCTCATAGTGCTGTGCTTTAACCCTTTGCACCACCAGCAAGACCCAGTCAAGTTCATTTCTGTAGCCAATGAGCAAGACCACCGTTTCATTGGTTTCCTTTCCACGCTCCCCCCGGCCCACCCGCCCCCATGGGTGTGCTGGTACCCATGGGAGTGAGGTTTCCAGACCTGGGTGATGAGCATGGCCTCTCCCAGCATGAACCTCATTCTGCATGGATTGAGCAACCTTCTTAGGCATCATTGAGGGCCTGGAAGTTTCCACTGGGAGCCTTGTGATGATTCAACTGCCCCCCCCCCCCACTACTGTACTATCTGCTGAGCAAACCCACCCGGGGCCAAGCCCTAGCCTGAAGAGCCCGAGCATGGCATTTGGAATTCTTGGCTCTTGCTAGAGAGAAGGCTCCTTTAATGTGCTGTGGCTAGCACTGCCTGATATTTTTGTGTTATTCCAATTTTTGGACTCAGATCTCTGGGAGTAATGACACCCTAGCCAACAGGAGTCCTGGGAAGCCACTTTACCCAGCTCAGGGCTGTCCAGCCAGAGTGGTGGTTCCCTAATTATAGGTGAGTGATCGAGGCTCAGCGTCCCCACGTGGCTTCTCTTTGAGAGGCAGGACTCTTTGGGCTCCCCAGTGCCTCTGTGGTACCATTAGAAGCCATTAAGATATTAATATGTGAGTATCTTTGCAAGATGGCGTTTGGTAAGTGGTCAAAGGAGGTCATTTCTCATTCTGTTCGAAGTTAGGCTATGTGGCCTCAAGTGCCCCAGCAGATCTGGCACAGGCCTGCCATTGGCCACTGCAGCAGCTCCTCACCACCAACTGCTCGGAGAGCGCAGATAAGTCTACTAAAGCTGATCTTTTTTTTTTTCTGCTTCCTGCACCTCTCCCCACCCGGTGCAGATGAAGATGACCCAGAGGCACGAGTGGGAGGAGTGCTATGACTGTACTTCATGCGCTTTTTATTTATTTTGTTCAGATAAACTGAACCCTCTGCAGAGCAATAACACACACGTTATCTGCATTTGGGGTGACTGTGTCTCATTGGTCTTTCTGGAGATTCAGCTTGCAATCTAAACTGACATTTTAAAAGATGTATTTATTTATGCATACAAGAACTGGGTTAACAGGTCAGAGGTGTGGGGTGTGAGAGGATTTATCAGAGACACAGTGAGGAGCAGAACAGGCAGATCCACTGAAATATACTGCTGAGGGGAGCAATGGACGAGACAGGAGAGGTCTGCTGTGCCATGTGGGTCACTTCCCTGGATGGGGATCGAACTTGTGCTGCAGTGGCTGCTATAGCTTTCTAGTGCTGTGCTTTAACCATCTGCTTTAACCATCTGAGCCACCTGGGAGGGTCCCTATGGTGATTTTTAAATTTAATTTTATTATTTTTTTTAAAGATTTATTTATTTATTTGTACAGAACTGGGGTACAGGCCAGAGATG